ATTGTCCTCCTGACCAAACCGCCTCCCCTCGAAGCGAGTGGCTATGGCCACATGCCCAGCTTTACTCAGGAAGACATCTTTGTCTTTTTTCAGAGTGTGAGGAGCAGGATAGCCTCAGGGAGACTGTCCCCATGGAGGGGCTGTGCTCTGAGCAGGAGTACCGGGGCTCGACAGTGGCCAGTCTCCCTGGGAAGAAGCCCCTGGAGAGCCAGCTACGGAAGCAGGAGGCGTTCCAGGCATATGGAAAGTCAGAGGACATCTCTGTCCTCCATAAGGACATCAAAGAGCTGAAGGCCCAACTGCAGACGGCCAACAAGATCATTCAGAACCTCAAGAGCCGGGTCCGGTCCCTCTCGGTCACAAGCGACTATTCGTCTAGCCTGGAGAGACCCCGCAAGCTGAAGTCCGTGGGCACCCTTGAGGGGTCTTCACCCCATAGTGTCACTGACGAGGATGAGGGCTGGCTGTCTGATGGCACTGGGGCTTTCTACCCCCCAGGGCTGCAGGCTAAAAAGGATCTGGAGAGTCTGATCCACAGAGTGTCCCAGCTGGAGGCCCAGCTCCCCAAAACAGGCCTGGAAGGGAAGCTGGCGGAGGAGCTGAGGTCAGCCTCGTGGCCTGGGTAAGACCCTGACCTGATCGATGATGTCTGAGTTGGTGTTTGAAGCAGGGTAGCCAGGCAGGTGGAAGAGAGAACCCGAGAGCACTTATTTCAGTGGTAGACCCAGGACTGAAGAAAGGACAGGTGTGTAAGCAGCATGGTGGCCCAGCCTGGGAGACACCAGGTCTCCGGCATTCCCTCCCAGGAATATATTAGTTGACAGTATATGCGGCATCTCAGTAAATCTGGAGTCAGACTTCCTGGGTTTGAATCCCAGCGCTGGCACTCACTAGCCACGCAGCCTACTTCGTTTTCCTGAGCCTATTTCCTCACCTATTAAATGAGGGTAATAAGAGAACCTGTCCCAAAGGGTGGTTATTAGGTTTAAATGAATTCATACAAGTACCTATAATGATGCCTAACATATATTAAGCTTATTATTATTATTATTATCATCATCATCATTATTATCGATACTTGGTGTTGAAAAACACCAGGCACACACCCATCACAATATCTGTCCTGGTTATCTACGCTGAATGACAAACCACCCCCAAACTTAGTGGCTTCAAACAATAATTTATGTGGATTGACTGGGCTCAGTGGAGTGGCTCTCGCTTGGGGGCTCTAATGTGGCTGCCATCCGATGGCCGATTGGGCTAGAGAGTCATCTGAAAGGTCCAGCTGGGCTGGACAGTTTCTTCATTGCCATGTCTGGCGACTCTGTGCTACTTGGCACCCCCCTTTCTCCATGTGGCTTCTCGTCTCCTAGGGCTTCTCCTACTGCCTTGGGCTTCTCATAGGATGTTGGTCCCAGGGCAGTTTCACTCCTACGTGGCAGCTGGCTTCCAAAAGGCAGGAAATGGAAGTTTCCAGGCCACTTAAGGCTACTCCTGGCCTTTGTACAGTATCACTTCCAGTATATTATCTGGTCAAAGTGGTCGTAGAGCCCAGTCAGATTTAAGGAGGTGGAGAATCGCCTCTTGCTGCTGATAAGAGCCGCAAAGCCTCATTGCAGAAGAGCAATGGAACGGAGCCTCTGTAATGGCCGCCTTTGCAAAATACAGTCAGCCATAATACAGGTGGTCTCAGAAACAGAAGACATGAAACGTCCTACCTAGACTTAGGGTTAAGTGATGCTACTCACTCGATTTATTTTTAGTATTTATTGAGTACCTATTCAATAAATATAGTTCGTATTTACTGAGCATCTACTGTGAGTCTCCACTACACTGGTGCTGTAAGGGGTGTAAAATATGACACTCTCTTTCCCACATAGAACTTATGATTCATTTTTGGACGTTTGACTCACATATATAGAACAGTAGCATACATCGTTTAATGCAGTAGTTTCTCAGAGCAGAATTTACTCTTAAATACCTCCTTTGGTGTAAGTGCCAGAATTGCACGTGGGGAAGTTCCTCAGAGACATTTTTCACAGAAATCTCTGTGGGAGCCCCAGTAACTCACCAGTCACTCTTTTCCATTCTTACTTGGTTCCTCTTTTTCCCTGCCTTAGGAAATATGATTCCCTGATTCAGGATCAGGCCCGAGAACTGTCCTACCTACGCCAGAAAATACGAGAAGGGAGAGGTATCTGTTATCTTCTCACCCAGCATACAAAAGACGCAGTCAAATCTTTCGAGGACCTTCTGAGAAGCAATGACATTGATTACTACCTGGGGCAGAGCTTCCGGGAGCAACTTGCCCAGGGCAGCCAGCTGACAGACAGGCTCACCAGCAAACTCAGCACCAGTAAGTTGGCCACGGGCTTGGGGACACTCTTAGTCACTCCCATAGCCCCAGGTGCAGGTGGCTGCCACACCTCCACCGCAGCCTTTTATCCCAGGGTCCTGCTTCTGCTTCCTTCCCCGGGGGCCATTATAGCATCAGGACTGGCTGAGGGGAAGCACTGAGAGGAGCACGCAGGGTTGCAGAGGCCATGAGTACAACCATGGAGACGTCATCAGTCACGGAACGTGAACTTTAGGGAAGGAGGCTGCATCCATCCAGTGCAAAGGGGGAGAAAGGGAGATGAGATCAACGGAGCTCGTGGTAGTGAAAAGAACCCTGAACTGAGCATCGCAAGACCTAAGCTCAGGCCTGGATGCTGCCATGAACTTGCTTTGCACAAATGACTTATCCTTTTGGTGTCTCTGCTTCTTTATTTATTGCATGGTATTGTATTGGGTCATTGGGAAAGTCATGACGCATTTTTGCATTGAAAAGCAAAGAAATATACGTCATGACTTTCCCAACAACCCAATACATGAATGTAATTCAAAGATGGATAAAGCACTATGCCCTTTGGAACATGGTTTAGTACAGGGGGTAGGAATGTTGGTTGTTATCGGAGTCCTTTACTTAGAGTTTCCTGAGAGCACCTGAGGGAATAGAGCAGGGCCAGTCGTGGGGGCCAAGCATCGCACATCTTGGTGGCAGGTGCGGGGAGGGGGGGGCAGGGCTATTCATCATCTCCTCAGAGCAAGAGTGGGGTCTACATAAAAGCCATGATGGGACACAGCTGTATGACTGTGAAGACGTCTGCAGCAGACTTGGAGGCTGGAATATTCCAGAGGGAGGCTGGGCAAGTGCCTTTTACAGCTTTTCACGTTGATTTAGGGCAGAGGAAGTCATGATGGTGGGGAGGTCTGCCCGGTGAGCTCGGAAATGCCTGCCGGGTCTTCGCTAAACATAGTCTGAGGCCTCCGAGAGGAATTCTCCCATATACCCTGGTCACGTATAGAGTAATCACCGTTCTGTACCCAGACAGGCTCCTGCATTTCTAATGTGTGAGGTGGGAGCTGTTTAATAATTCCTTACTGTTTCTTTCTGAATTTGCTTTGCAGAGGATCATAAAAGCGAGAAAGATCAAGCTGGACTTGAGCCACTGGCCCTCAGGTAATTCAGTTCAAGATAAAGGGACCGGGAACAGGGCCCAAGGGGTCAAGTATGGCTGGAGCTTCACAAATTGGGTGGGAAATAGAAGATGCTGATTGTAATCAATTTATTCATGGAACACTGTACTGTTGTTGGTTTTAACCTAATTCTTTACTCTCTTTTGATAGAATTCTATTGACTTGTATTTCCACATTTATTCTCCAGGCTTAGTAACCTATAGCCAGTCTGACTAAAAGTGAACGAACTAGGTTTCGGGGTTCTTGGCACCCCCAAGGGTCTCCTCTGCTTTTCCCCTATGTGTCTAGAGACCAGAGTGTACTTTTTTCCCAAGTTGGCTTTTCCCATGTTGAGTCAGTAGTGAGTTTATAGCCATCCAATTTCCTTGGGAAGAAAGAATAATGTTACGGTTCCCAGGGAAAAAGGCCTAGATGTCGCAGAAACCAGTTTTCGATGAGTTGCTGCAGATAGTCTTATAACGCGCAGTAAAATATGGGCTCAGAGTTTGTTACGGCCACTAGTTTGAGCCCCTTTGTGCCATGAGTGTGCGTTAGACCACACAGTGCTCCTCCAAATTTTTGTGAAGGAGAAAGCGTTTTTGTGTTTGCTTTTGTTTTCATTTGTAATCACAGACGCATACATGGTGTGTACCTCACCATGTGATTTCACTGACTGCCCTTGGCTGTTACGGCAGTGCAATGCCAACTTGCCACCTCTCATGCTTCCCTTCAGCCTCTGGACTCATCTTGTGAGAGACCAACAGTTAGTGACCAACAGTCCTCAGACTGCAGCTGGAGTGGGGACCAGACGTGGAGCAGCAGCGCCTTAAGGGCTAGCTCTGTCTCTGCTCATCCTCAGCGTATCATGTGGCCAGCGCACTAGGTGGCTATCATGTCTCCTCCCTCTGCACCCCAATCAGAAATGGGCTATTTCAATTATTCTCTGCAGGAATGGTCCCCTTGACCTCTGTGACTTTTCCCGTGGGCCCCAGACAGGCCCAGCTGGTCCAGTGACCTCGGTTTCACCTGTTGTCCTCCCTCACCCCACTAGGCTCAGCAGGGAGCTGCAGGAGAAGGAGAAAGTGATCGAAGTCTTGCAGGCCAAGCTGGACGCGCAGTCCCTCACACCCGCCAGCAGCCACGCCTTGTCCGACTCCCGCCGTTCTCCCAGCAGCTCCTCCTTCCTGTCTGATGAGCTGGAAGCCTGCTCGGACATGGACGTAGCCAGCGAGTACACACACTATGAAGAGAAGAAAGGTTCGCCTGGTCACTCAGGTAGCCTC